AGCGAGGGCCCTCTTCTCAGTGTGGGCCTTCACGGCTCTCTGCTACGCAGGATACTGGGTGCTGCCCCTGACCTTCCCTTCCTTCACCTCCTCCGCCACCGCCTTCCTCTGGGAACTCTTCGCTGCACTCGGTCGCGTCGCAGTGTCGACGGCGGGGCTCGTCGCCACCCTTTTGTGTGGGCTGTCTGCCTTGCTCGTCCACGCGACGACCGTCATCCTGGCGCTTCCCTACTTCACTGCCGGTCTCCTGGCGGCGATGGTGGGGCTCGTGGGCAACCTTCTGCGTGGGCTGTTTACCTCGCTCGTTCATCCGTCGACCATCATCCGGATGTTCTCCTCCTTCGTTGGCGGCCTCCCGGCGGCAACGGCGGGGGTCGTCGCCACCCTTTGGTGTGTGCTGTCTGCCGTGGTCGTTCACGTGATGACGATCATCCGGGTGCTTTCCCCTTACGCCGGCGGTCTCGCGGCGGCGACGACGGAGGTGGTGATGATCCTGTCCCAAGCGCTGTTCGCCGTGGTTGTTCCAGCCACTGCCACAGTGATCCGTGGGCTGTCCGTCTGTGCCTGCGGCCTCGTGGGGTTGCTGAGGATCATCGTCAGCCTGTGGTCGGAGCTGGCCATCACCACCATGGCCGGCAGACTGCTGTGGATCCTGGGGCGGCAAGAGCAGATACTTTCGACACCGGCCACAGCGACCTTGGCTGTGGCTTCTCCCCGGGCGGCAAGCGACGCCACCAACAACACCAACGCCTGTGTGCCGAAGGAAAAGGTGGACGGGAGTGCGGCAAGCGACGCCACCGACGCCTGTGTGCCGAAGGGAATGGTGGACGGGAGTGCGGCAAGCGACATCACCAACGCCTGTGTGCCGAAGGGAAAGGTGGACGGGCGTGCGGCAAGCGACATCACCAACGCCTGTGTGCCGATGGGAGAGGTGGACGGGAGTGCGGCAAGCGACATCACCGACGCCTGTGTGCCGATGGGAAAGGTGGACGGGAGTGCGGCAAGCGACACCAACGCCTGTGTGCCGATGGGAAAGGTGGACGGGAGTGCGGCAAGCGCCATCACCAACGCCTGTGTGCCGATGGGAGAGGTGGACGGGAGTGCGGCAAGCGACATCACCAACGCCTGTGTGCCGAAGGGAAAGGTGGACGGGAGTGCGGCAAGCGACGCCACCAACGCCTGTGTGCCGAAGGGAAAGGTGGACGGGAGTGCGCAAGCGACGCCACCAACGCCTGTGTGCCGAAGGGGGAGGTGGACGGGAGTGCGGCAGGCGACGCCACCACCGCCTGTGTGACGAAGGGAAAGGTGGACGGGAGTGCGGCAAGCGATATCACCAACGCCTGTGTGCCGATGGGAAAGGTGGACGGGAGTGCGGCAAGCGATATCACCGACGCCTGTGTGCCGAAGGGAATGGTGGACGGGAGTGCGGCAAGCGCCATCACCAACGCCTGTGTGCCGATGGGAATGGTGGATGGGAGTGCGGCAAGCGATATCACCGACGCCTGTATGCCGAAGGGAATGGTGGACGGGAGTAGTGCGGCAAGCGACACCAACGCCTGTGTGCCGAAGGGAGAGGTGGACGGGAGTGCGGCAAGCGACACCACCGCCTGTATGCCGAAGGGAATGGTGGACGGCAGTGGAGCACCGGCCAGTGGCTCAGCTCTGCCAGGCCCTGGAAGCGCCTTCCTCGCCGATAATTCGCCCCCTCCTCTCTGCAATGTGCGCCCCCATTGGCCCCACAACCGAGCGTCAAGCCGCAGGGGAGGGTGAAAACCAGCAGCACCCAGACTGCCCCGAATGTGTGCGTCTGCCTGGATGTGGTAGCACAGCCGATCTCCAAGCCGCAGCGGAGCCTCGCCGCCAGCAGCGCGCAGACACCAACCGCTCCCTGGGTATCGGCTCGCGTGCCCAGGTCTGAAAACGTGTACGTCTGACTGGTTGTTCTCAATGATCCATATCTTTCATGCCCAAGAAAATATCTGACGGAAGGCGTTTGACAGGATGCATGGTGTAGTTTCCTGAGATTGCGACAGGACGCAAAACTGGGCGTGCACGAGGTCTGTGGCGAATTATGTCCCGTGATGAAATCATTCCGTTGACACGAAAAATATTTGGGGCTCTCTTGATTACAATCTGGTATTGCTCGGGCTCTTCCGGTACCCTGTTTGTGCCATGGGTTCAGCGAAAGAAGGAATACGCGGGATGCGCCATTTGGGAGTTTGCGTGGCGTACAATGAACGACCAGGTCTTCCTTAGAGGATCGTACTGACTCCCCTTCGCTTCCTCTTAACCTCTCCCCCCCGGGTTCGAACTTGGTTGATTCATCGCTGGAACTCGTCTCTCTACGTCAGGGGAATCACCAACCGCAGCGAGACCGTTTGCTACAACCGGTGCTTCTTAAACTCGGTTGTGCAACTGCTGAGGGTCTCCCCCGGCCTCGTGAGCCTGCTGCTGCGAGAGGCGAAGGTTGGGCCTGCCGGTACGTGCCTTCCCCTGTGTGCGCCCACGTTTGACGATGATTGACGTATTCGTGCACGTTGTCCCCAACTGATGTGGAACAATAGCCCAGACGATCATTTGGAAACCATTGCGCGGCACAAGAAGTACGTGTCCATGCTTCGCGTCCAGCGAGCGTGGAGGCACACCTGGGCGTGACCCGTCACAGGAAGTTTACCCAAGACGCCACCTTCTCTCTTACGTTCTAGGTGCTGTTGGTGTTGTGGCCGTCGTCGTCATCGTTGCACTCGGTTTCCCGCAACGCCTCGTCGTCGAGTTTCTTTGCCGTGCAGCCTGCACAAGTTGCCTACTTCAGTTGGGCTGATAAATTGGTCGTCTTGAAACCCATGTTGTCGATGGCCCGGACAACAGCTTAAACAATACGGCGAGCGAGGGAATAGTTTCTTTCCATTCTCCCGATGGTTGATTGGTAAACATTGATCGAATCCCCTCGTGGTTGCAATGAATCGTGACGCAGCACGGCTGCTGGAGGGAGGGCGCTTGTGGAGCGACCCCGCCCCTCGAACGTTGGAGGAGCTCCAAAACGACCTCCTCTACCAGCTGGCAATGGTTCTGAAGGCGGGCCCAAGGCGGGTAGTCGCGTGGTACGAGATAATATGTGATCTACTAGATGCTTGAAGATGTTGTTGGACTATGAGGGATCGCCAGACAGCGTGGTTCCTAACGCCAATGGTATGCAGGCTTGGGTGGTGGCGGCGGAGCGAGTCCTTGCAATAGCAGAGCCAGCATGCAAATTTCCACTTGTTGCAGAACCGTTCAAAGCTGGAACAACGAAGTTTTTGCCTACCTCCGGCGGTTTCCTCTGCTCGTTGTCCTTGCCGTGCAACCACTGCAGATCTCACGATACGCAAGGAGATCATTTCCACGTACTCCTCGACCTGTGCCATCATAACCAACGCCTTCGTAGCGTGACGGTTTGGTGCGGTTTTGTCCCGTGAACGACCGAAGATGTTCTCGGTGTTGTAAATTGTAAGACCGCCTCTATTTTCAGTTCCCACGTACTTGGAAGCCCCTGGCAACAATGCTCCGCCATCCACAGCATGCATCTAACCGGCGCCCAATCCATACATGAGACACCTCACGTTCACGTTCACGTCATGTTTCGTTCTACATGGTTCCCGCTCGGTGGCCGCAACGGCACTGCGGGCTGGTAGCTGCTTCCACGAGCAACCCATCCCCTGTCATCGATCATCGAAGGCCAAGGGCCTGCATGCATGTCCTACGCACTTGCATCGATTCGCACCGCAAGCACATGAGTGTGGTGATGCCTCTGTTGCAGTCGAGGCGATCACTAGACAGCATCGGAAGTTAGGAATGTAACCAGCGGCTGTCCTCCCACCCCCACCTATCGCCCGAACGAACGCCTGCCCCGAATACGAACAGTCCATGGAGGTGGGAGGGACCGAGCCCACTGCCATGAAAAAGCTCGATCTCGCGACGCGGACTCTTCTTGCGGGGAGAGACAGGGCGGGTATTTAGGTCTGCCGTATGGCGTGATAGCGCCCGAGCGTTGTCGTAACGGTAGGGTCGTTGTGAAGCCAGTGATAACTTCTTCGCGTCTTACCTTCGCCACCGAACGAATATCCGACTTGGGGTAATCGCAGGGTACTGTCGAACGATTCTCCTTGAGGTCTCCCAACTTTCCTAAACGTTTCCACGTAGTGGGTCGCTCTCGACTGGAACTCTACTCTTGTCACGAGCAATTATAATAGTCCGCCCCGCAACCTTGACTCGACTTCACGGCATTTTCCTCGAACCATAGTACTACTAGAGGCCACTATCAGCCGGCTCCCCCCGGTCTGATTCAGCGTGATTTTCACTCCAGGCCTCGCCTTCTGCGCATACCGCTACGCGATTTTTGTGACCAACAGGGAGTCAAATTGAGGCGACAAGAGGATGCCGTCGAGACACTCCAGGTATTCGTCGAGGCGATATTCTCCGTCTTCGAGCCGGAGGTAACAACGCCCGCCGTGATGATGGCAACAGAGTACAGCAGGTTCAGTAGCTCTTCGACCCTTCCTGCAGAAGATTGCAACGGCACTGATCGGAAAGGATTCGCCGCCCTTGCTTTTTCGAGCGGATAGTCCAAGTGTTGTCGCCTTGTGTGAATGGGGCGCTCCTCGACATTGAGAATTACTCCAGACACTTGAGTGCGGCGAGTGCAGCGAAACACGCAGCACCACCGGTTAAACGGTAGAATGCTGCAGTTGCAAGGTACCCATTGCTTCACACGGCTTGCATGTAGGCACAGTCGAACTTCGGGTAAGTACACAACTGTTACTTGCTACAGAAATAATTTCCCTAAGAAGGGGAAATGTCCATACGTTTGATACTCCCCCTTATGTTGTACATTATGTGGGCCACCATGCCTGTGAAAAAGGGAGTTTCCTTAATATTGGTGTCCTCATGCGAGGCACGACTGACTGTAATTGGTGCCACGAACAAGAGCAAATGCTGCCTGTTGTTTTCAGGAGATCTCCTTCATGGACTGTGGTGACTTCGTCCACGCCGGCTGCCACAACGACGGCTGCAACCCCGTGAGTGGTTACCGTTGGAAGTGGTGTTGCCATATTGTCGTTATCCTCTTTTCGTTCCGATAAGTGTTACCACTGCGACGTACAAGTCGGGCGCGGAACGTGGTGACCACAGGTACCCAATCACCCGCATTTCTGTACAGCAACAGTCGAGGTAGGGTGCCTTCGGCATGTTCAGACCCTTGCAGCACGCGCCCTCAAAATGAATCGGTGAACGTAGCAGGATCGTCACTCTCTCGGTAATGACTGCATGTCTCAGATTGACCATCCTTAGAGATGTCTCTCCCAAGGGTGGCAATGCCAGCCGCATTTGTTCTCGTCTAAATGTCATCGCTTGAGGCCAGAAACGGCGCGTGGGTACACAAAATAGCGGGATAAGCATGCGACCGAACGAAGTAGTTTGTGCTTTATCCCAAGGTTCGTTTCGCGACTGTTTCGTGACCGATCATACCATAGTTCCGAGGTCCGGGGATAGTACCTGCGGCCAGCGACCTCTTGGTTAGCCCGGGCCGATAAATGACCTGCGTGCGAACAAGGGAGTTGGATCTCGACCCGGTGTGATGCCCGGAAACTAAACTCAAGTGGTTCCTCGGTGCCTGTATCCCTGTGTGTCGCTGCAGATCGTCCAGCTGCGATTCCCAGGGGTTCTGCCCGTGGAGCCCTTGAAGGTGGACTACACCAGCGCGAGAGATGTCGCAGAGCTGGAGGAAGACTTCGGGGAGCTTATGCAGGGCGTGAGGGACAGCGGCAAGACCGAGCTCTCCTTCCTGCAAACAACTTGCGTTTACTTTCCCTCTGCTCGATGACGTACGTATCCTGATTCCCAACCCCACCCACTTCACAGAAAGGCGTAGAAATCGCAAGCAACACTGCATATCGTCCTTGCACATGCCAATCTCTTCTTCCAAAGACGCATTCATCTACCCTGCAGCCCCGTGTTAAGAGGGGGAAGAACGTCCTGAAACCTTCACAAATGGTGCCCGGGTGAAGTGTACCGATGTTTTTGTCACAGGGGGCGTGCTTTCAAGGACCAGGGTCGCTTTTCGCGGACAACATGTTCGGTACCCCGAGCGGGTGTGTCCGTCCGTCCATGATGGACGGTGTGCGGTAAAATTGAGAATACTACCCAGAGAAAATACTACTGGTACATGTTACTACGCAAAGATGATAGACAAGGGGCTACATGACACTTCGATGAAACATTTCACCTGAAACATTTCCACGGATTATCATGCGCATGGCCTGTGTTCCGCTTTGCTTGACACATGTTATATGTCTTCCCCAGATCGAGGACTGGGAAGGTTGCGCTAGCCACGCCTGCCCTGCGTTCTACCACGCGGAGGTTGGTGACACCATGGCCTTCCCTGATTTTCGCTCGTTTCTCCTCGGCGGTGGAGGAAAAGCAGAGAGCTTCCTCGCTGCCATCGGTAGGGCTGTTGGTAGATGGCCGATCTATTGGTTGTATGAAACATCGAAGGTCTCCCCCAACGTTTCGCGCAAGTCAAGACCCACGTTCCTAGGCATTCTGCAAGCGCGACGAACCCTGAGGGTCCATATGTTGGGGTGTCTCATGGTACGCCAGCGAAGTCTGTGGCGCTGAGAGGCGTTTGAGACTCGCTGCGCGAGAGTTGTTCTCAAATCTTTGTAGGCGTGACGCGCTACTTAACATTCGCACATCTTGCATACCACAGGAGAAGAAGACGCTCCAGCTCGGGACTTCGCCGCAGTCGCTCTTGGTCCCGATATTTCGGAACGTAACTGGGTGAGACTTCAACCTCCCATGCTGTGCACGGCGTAGTGTACATTCAGCAGTTCGTTGCACAATCTTGCCACCAACCATACACCTGCACCGACATGCTTGGATGAACGTCGCCTCAAAAGAAGGTTCCAATTGTTGGAAGTCGAGAATATTGAGTTAATAGGCTTTCAGTATCAACCACCTAGCGACGAGCTTGCCGGAAATTCATCGAATAGCATAGCTTCAGCCCGACTACCGTAATGGAGCTTGAGATACTCGGGGTTTGTGTTTCTGTGGTGATGCTTCATCTAGTGTTCTTGCATGCTTTCTTCCGCACTCTCGCTGATGCTGCACGCCAGACAACCCCAAAATAGAGATTGTCACCAAGGGTGAATGTCCATCTTGGCATTCCGTGCATGCATGCTCACAAACAAGCAGGATCTTTGAGGCAAGCGCCGTAGTGATGCACACTGGTTTGGGATTCACGAAAGGAGCCTTGCATGTATTGGGTGATGCCCCGTGGCTGACTCACGACTGACCTTTTACCCTCTGGTTGGTGTTCCTCACATAGGCAAATAGCAAGTTCGTTCATTGTGGCTCTCATGTTGTTGTTGTTGTTGTTGTTGTTGTTGTTGTTGTTGTTGTTGTTGTTGTTGTTGTTGTTGTTGTTGTTGCTGCTGCTGCTGCTGCTGCTGTCGTTGCTGATGGTGATGATGATGGTCGGTTCCCGGCGCTGTTGTCGCTACCACTATCTTCGTCGAGCATGCCGCCATTACTTCGCTTTCACGTTCGGAACGTGTTTCGCCAGGTCCAAGATCACCAGGGACGTGACATTCCCCCTGGACGACTTGGAGCTGATCACAACCGAAGCCGGCGGCACGCGTGAGTGACGAGCCTGCACACACCTCCAACTTCGTGTTTGATGCCCGACGATCGAAATCACACATACGTCCGCAGTTACATCCCGCGAAGGGCTGCGTGCACACCGTGTGAACCCCCAGTGACTTTTACCGCATGGGCGGGCTGGGATGCGGGGGCTACCCTTCAACTTGCCTGACCCCGCACATGACTGGTCCGCATCTCGCTACTACTGCAGTAGGAGTACACTTTCCCCAGGGGTGGACGCGACCGACCAGCGCTACACGTAGCGCTCCCCGATTTTCCAGCTCTTCCCGAAGTCGAAGCCTGTTGGTTTAAGCCTCGTCCTGCAGCGTGAAGTGACGACTATTCCCCTTTCCCTTCGCCGTGTTCTCTGTATTTTGCTTGAAACGCAACACCAACTCGCCAGCAACAACGACGCACTACATGGCGGTCGCCGTCATGCAGCACTGGGGTCCCCACTGCACCAGCGGCCACAACGTGACCCTCGTGCGGAAGGACTCGAATGCAGGGTCCGACTGGTGGCTGTGCAACGACGAGGACATCCTCTCGGTCTCGTCCGCTTGTGTCGCTCGGAACGCCGTGGCGGTGTTGTACCGCCGGGTGCCAGATTCCTAGGGCCCACTCCCGTACCGTCAGATTTGAAATCTACGTGTATCGCCTAGAACGGTTGCTGCGGTGCGGTGGGAACTTGGGTCCCACTTCCACGAAACGTCAGAAGTACTATCTATGGGAGTCTGAGACGGTAATTACGGTGCTGCGGGAGCTTGTGCATGGTTCGAAGCGCACATACCCTGCAGAAAGGTGCTGACGTTGGAGCATGGCTTTGAGCGTGGCGAGCCTTTGTTGCGGGGAAGAAAAACGTTCATGCTTGACCGGGGACTGTATCTACAGTAGTAGTTCAACAGAAACACGGGATGTGGTATAGAGTGTTGTTTGACCAACTCCACACCTGGTGTACGTGGGTGATTGGTTTTACGCGGACACCTCCCGGCAAAGAGGATCTCTGCTCGGGGCAAGTGGTGGTGCTTGGAGATGTACGGTGTTGGGGCAGAGAAAACTACCTACTTAGTCGTGTGGCACGTATAGTTGGTTCGTGTGTTTGATGGGGGAAGTCACTCGTACGACGCCTCCCCATGGTCGTACTTGCCCCATCGTTTTTCTTTTTCTTGCACTTTGTCTTGCTCGCCGATGAGAACGAAAACTCCAAAATTCGTGTCAAACCTATCCGATTTGAGTGTTGGGATCAATCTCTCTTTGCTTTCAACTTAAGCGATTTTTGCTAGGGGGTGAGGGGGGTCCTGCATCATTTTCTCTGGCTTCTTCACGTTGTTTGTGTATTTGTTCAATCAGAAACAAACGTGTTCAGACGCCGCTTGGACCCGACGGGCAACCGTGATGCAGAAGGACCTCAGAGAGAACATTGCCTCAGCGGGACGAGTCGTAGCCTCAATGGGCCACGCCCCTCGTGCAGCGCCCAAGGGGGCTCGCCGTGCAGTGCTTACAATTTTGAGGATTCAGTCGCGCCTGGCAGAGATGAGGCTCGATTGTTGGAAGTGTTGAAGTTGTTGTGCTCAGTCAATTCCTCTTGTGACGAGTTACATGGAGTTTCTCTTGGTGTTGTAAGAAGTTTTGTCGGACAACCATGTCATAGCTTAGGTTGTTCTATGAGCACCATAATGTGCCGCTGCAGTGTGATGCAGAGTCGGGAGTATTGGAACGGTTCCGGGATCGATCTTAACCTCCCGTGGGAATTGTTGAAAAATTAGCGCTGATTTCCGTGTAGGGTGAAGGCGTACCAAACCTCTCCCTGACGGGCTTACTATTTTTCGGGTGCTACCTGTGGTGGTGGTTGACTTGTTTTTCCAGAATTGCCGTGTTGTACCAAGCGTGCCGTGTGTATCTCAAGTATGCTTGGTGTGCACCGGAGGGCATCGATGATGGATGGATGGATGCAGATTAGTCTCCCTTCCCAAGCACGCGTTGCCTCGTTTCCCGTGTGTTGTATGTGTGCGTTACATGTCCCAATTTGTTCTGGCACACATGGACAGAAGGTTTACCATGTTCCCTTGTTGTCATATGTGTGTTGTGTCCCAGTTTATTCTGGCGCCAGTCATACCACATCGAAAGAAGGTTTACCATATTCCCTTGTTGTATATGTGTTTGTTGTGCCCCAGTTGATTCTGGCGCCAGTCGTACCACATCGAAAGGTGTACCATGTAAGTTTTCTGATTTATCAGCCGGGATCACATAGACAAGAGGTATTATTTTGAGTTTTTTTTTGCCCGCCTCCGCAATGCTTGCCGTAACTGTGCTTGTTAAGTGTTTGTCTTGAGTAGGCATTTTGTAATGCGGGGCTTTAAGTGGCGGCGCAGACGCCCGGTGAGATGGTAATGTCAGGAAATCCCCCCCGTGGGATGGAAGTGGTAGGAAAATCCCGCCTGTGCGATGGTAGTAGGAACGCACCCCCGTGGGATGGTAATGGTAGGAGAATCCCGCCCCAGGCGAGACAATATTGAGGCATACCATCACCTTGGATCAAAAGGATCTACACGTGTGGTAATGGGATGAGATGGGAGAGGGATTGTGTGCTACGCTGATGGGATGGGGTGGCATTGGTGAATCCTTGTTGCTGGGATGGGATGGGAACCGCTGGATGTTTCCATGAGACGGGATGGGTGCGTCCACGACGGACAGGGTGATGATGGTAGAAGTGTGAGGTCTTCCCCTGGTGACGATGATGATGGTTTGATGTGTCAAGGTTTGCCGCCGTTCTTGTTTATGGCGAGGACAGTTCATATGGCACACACCTCGTTGCAAAACTCCACTTTATTCTGCCCAATGAACACCAAAACCGTGTACTCGACGGGCTGATACTCTCTTACGTACCTTTCTCTCGGTTGCCCCCCTACTCAACAATCATAGGTACATAGCAGTAATTTCAGAATAATGACAACACCCGAGGCATTCTGGGCTGTGGACTGTGGTCTGGTGTACTGAGCCACTCGTATTGTGTTGGCACCGCTTCTGACGTCGCGGTCCGCCGTTTTTGGTTTGCACACAGAGAGAGCCGGAGGGGGCGGGCGGGGTGCCAAATACTGCATGTATTGCAACGGGGGTTGGTATCGTCTATTTCCGGTACCGGGTGTAGCGTAAAGATCCTGGAGAACAGGGTTCAGCCGCCCCTTTCCCTCGTCGACCGTGAAGTCGTGTGTATTGTGTATACTCCATGTATGTATGTATATGTAGTATGTACTCTTCAAAGTAATCGCTTTCCACATCAAAATGGTAGAGGGAGGGAGGGGGTTGGGAGAGAGAATCGAACCCACAACCTGCTATCCTAGGTTTGCGAGGTTGACCGCTACTGTAAATTGAAGACCGAGGTGACCGGATTACTATGAGGCATCCATCGATCGAATATTTTTTCGCGGAGGACGTCAGACTTTTCTCATGCCAATATTGTCTTGTGCCATCGAGCTATGCCTACATACGGGCTCTGATCACTTCGCACACTGCCACCCACCCGTGGACACAAGAAAGTTGACATGTCTCGCCGATGGTATCTTTCAACTTTTGGGCAGCGGTGCACGTTCAACAGCAAGCAGCACAGACAGAAACAAGCGCACAAGTCCATTCCTTCGTAAGATACCACCCTGGACCGATTTTCAGGGCTCGATTGCTCTGCGGCACAAACTGCGACGGGGCGAAAATGGTGGCGTTGGAACTACTGCCTCTTCGAGATATCTCCGAAAATGGATTGTTTGGCTGCTGTGGCATCCCCTTCTTCGTCGTAGTCGAGCTTTAAAGTTGTCTCAGGGGGTGTGATATCTTACGCAACCCTCAGCAGCAGCAGTACACACACACATACAGCAGTAGGCGAACGGTCGACCCGTAGTCATTAACCCCTGTTGCGACGTCCATTGTTTTCTGCTTTGCACACACATCATCAACAGGGCGGTGTCACCGTCTCTCGACTGCTTGTGGGTACACTGCAAAGCAGCCGCAGCCGCAGCCTCTCATCGAGAGTTTTATTTGATTTGTTGAAGCCACCCTGTACGTCGTCGGTCAAAAAAAGCTCATGTACACCAGTACATACAGCTAGAAGTGTCCGCAACATCCTCCTGCGGCGGTGCGGCTATACCCAACGTCGTCCTGTCCTTGTGCCGCTGTGGTATGTCAACGTCGACCTGTGGGCGTACTGCAGGGTCACGTGGAGAACATGTATTGCATGCTGTTCGTTATGGGTGAGCGTGAACGAATAAGATTTCTAGACTAGCTGTACAGGAGTAGTCTACGATCCACCTGTCATTCAACAACGGTTTTGTCCTCATCAGCCATCCACACTCTGTCAGTCTCTTCACCTGTCTGCTGTTGTACATACATGCCCGACAGCACAAAAAAATAGTTTGCATCATGCCTGGAACACAGGTATGTATAACGGAACTTTTTAGGTTCAATGATTTGGCCCTGCCCACCTGCATTCCCGTGACATCGCGACTGCTCGGGACATTGTTTTCGTTTTACCCACGTCAGCACGCGTTCGTGCGAAATTAAGAAAAAAAAAATACAAACAGAAAGACCACCCATTCGAGATACACCCAATACACTCGATTTTAGAGAAGAAAAAGTGAAACCGACTTTGTTTTTGTATTCTTCGACGAAAAATTTAATTGCGCCGCGTTTTTCTATCTGTCTGTGTGGACTGTTGCCAGACGAGGCCCCCGTCCCACTCTTGCCACCCACATCCCCACACAAACACCACCTACCACCTACCACCTACCCCCACCACCACCACCTTACCCCTCCAACACCATGCGTTCCGACATCGCCACGGTCATCGCCTTCGGGCTCCTCAGCGTCTGCCCCGTCAGCGCCGCGCCGACGTACTCGTGCTTCGACCCCCCGGACGAGGGACAGACCAATCCTCTCGGGGAGGGCATGGAGGACGTCGTCGAGTCCGAGTGCTGCGAGGCGCTCATCGACGAGAGGTGAGCTAGATTCAGTAAGGAGTGAGGCAAGACGCGATCTGCGGTAGATAGAGCGATAGTCAGAAGCGCGTCTGTTTTGTTGCTTGCTTTGTTCGCCGACGGGGCGGATCGTATCCACAGTGTGTAGATACGATCCTTCATCGACAGAGCATGCACCACATGTTCCCGAGCCGACGCGTAGTAAGATACGCACATGCATCCCAGTGTTCCTTGCTGCCCCCCTGTGTTCCTTGCTGTCTCCCAGTGCCGCTTACAGCGGCGGTTCGTGCTGAAAGCGCTGCCCTGTTATGGGTCACTGTTGCTTTTGTCACGGGCTCGAGCTCGGCGAACGCAACAACACCCGTTGTACATGTGGTACCCAACATTATGCAAGTATATATAGGGCAGTGTACCCGACCAAATTGTTGTAAAGATTACGTTTCAACATCTTGACATTCTCGAAGCATCTAGTCAGTCAACGAGACAAGCTGGCAACAGATATACACGCGTACACCCGCAGCAGCACGGTGCGTACAATGTAGACCATCTCTCGAGCTGTAGACTATGGGTTTGACTTGCTGCGAGCGGCACGCGACGAAATCGTGTACAAAGAAGTGCGTGAAGTATGAACACGAATTATGGCTCCTTCAAACACGCAAGACAACCATCTACAATTGTACAACGAACCCAGTTCTGACGGCTGCCATCAGGAATTATGCAAGTTACGTGACTTTCGAGAAGGAACGCCCCCAGCGAGCCACACTACGTTACAAACAGCGAAAGTGCAGACCATCATGTAGTAGGTTGCGCCCACGCCGAGAGCGATTGTGAAGGAGTAGCCCAAGCTTCCGCTTACAGCTTTGCCGGAGGACCAAACTCGAAACGTCCACCCTCCTCGCGTACTCTTTGTAGGTGCCCGCCTTTCTACTTTGCTGGGTAGTTTCGCGATCCTCATCTAGATCACCGAAAGCGTGCGCGTACTATACAGTGGTACTTCAAACTTGCGAACCACGAACGCCACTCCTTTTGTGCGAGATACTACCGCCGCGCCCCTTCCGCAATCCCACCACCACACCTTTTTCTTTGGAGCACTGGTACTTGTATTGGTCGTTGTTGTTGTTGCGGTAGAAAAAATCGACGTTGTTGTTGTTGTTGTAGCGTGACGCCCCATTGCCCTTTCCCGTTCCCGGTCGTGCTTCATCGAAGAGATCAATAGGCCTAGACTGCTGTAGACCACTGTTGATACAATGCACGCCACCCCGCGCGTGCGCTCCTCGCCTTTGGCATGACGCATCGATATTGCGACCGCAAAACTGCTGAAAATGGTATCACCCACAACAGAAATAAAAAAATACAACCAACCTTTGCGTACCATTCCCTTATCACAAATATTTTCAAACAAAAAGGTTGCGCCGCTATTTTTGTCCGCCTGGTCTCGGGCGTCGGCCTCGAGATCCAAAACCGGCCAGAGGCGGAGAGGGCAGAGGTCCTTCCCCTTTAAAACAATATGGGAGGCAGTCAGGGTGTTCTGCAGTAGTCCTACACCGCTCTTCCGCCATGTTCTAAGTAAGAAAACTGCTTTCCACACGGACGCCTCCAACAATTTTTTCTCCGCCCCCCTGTCATCATACGGATCCCTCTAACATTGCTTTCTCCGACCTCCCCGTCGTTTCATTGCCGCCTGCGAACCTCAGCGACATGATGGCCGACCGCGAGGTCATCTGGGACCCCGTGAACTGCAACCACGGGCCCGGCGACGAGCCCATCGCGGAAGCGTACCTCTGCCGGGCGCACGACACCGACGGCTGCCGCTTCTGCCACGACTCGTGCGACGGGTATGAGGTGCGTCGTTCACGCCACAACTTTTGGCTTTATTGCTCCAAGTATTCCTGCTCTGCGGCGTAAGCGTTGTTCGCCAAGCATTGTTCGTGTCGAAATACTCGTGCCACGTCTGCTTTTATCTTCTTCTCGATCGGGCTGTGTGTCGTGGTCGACTCTTTGCCTGGCTGACTTTTTCGGTTGCCCAAACTTGTTTGTCCTCTGCAGTTGTCCCGTTTTCGGTAGACTGTCTATGATATTGCTCGAACGTCTTCTCGTGCGCATGGGTCATACGATGCGGCCATGTTACTCTTGCCGCATCCTCTCCAAAAGCTCGAACCAATCCCACCTCCTCCCGTCCCTCTCCCCACACCAGGGTCTCTGCATCACCTGCGAAGAGGTCTTGGAGGACCTGCTGAACTCGGACAGCCCCACCCCTTCCCCGGACTTCGAGACCTCCGAGTTCCCGGCAACCCCGGCGCCGGCGATCCTCACCGCCGCCACCGAGGCCCCCTTCGGTATCTTCCCCGCGACCCCCGCGCCGGTTGCCCCCGTGGCGCCGCCTACCGAAGCGCCGGCGGTGCCGCCTACCGAAGCGCCCGTGGCGCCGCCTACCGAAGCGCCCGTGGCGCCGCCTACCGAAGCGCCCGTGGCGCCAGCCACCGACGTGCCCGTGGCGCCAGCCACCGACGCGCCCGTGGCGCCAGCCACCGACGCGCCCGTTGCCGCACCCGCCCCCACGGCCGAGGCCTCGGACTGTGAGTGCGTCAACAGCCTGTCGGAGGAAGAGATGGCCGTGCTCACCCGACGGTCGAAGAATATGGTGTGCGACCCGACCTGCTCGGACCAGTCCGACCTCGTCTGGGGTGAGTTACGGTATCCATTTTATTTCTTATTTTGTTAGCCAATTTATGGTGTTGTTTAGTTTTCGGGTTCGGGTTCAGAGCCATTATTACTTTATATTTTTCTGCTAGGAACTACTTCAAAGGCTGAAGAAAAAAAACAATACAAAGAACGGCACCATAAAACAACTTCGAAGTATATGTAGTCTCTGATGGTTTCCTGGGGGTTTTAATACTTTGCGACTCAAAAGCGGGAACTTAAAACATTAAGTCCCGAAGCAGTAAGTCAGAGCCAACCTACAACAAACCCTTCTCCTATGCATAGAAAAAAAGAAAGGCATGCGTACGAAGGGTGTCTTGTCTGCGTGGCCCCCGGCACGAAGACCCCGTGTGTAGGCGGTTCGGTTGTCGTTGCGAGCGGTACCGTAGGCTATAAATGTCTGTGTCCTCTCCTTCGATACGCCCGTGACCACCGCCAAAACCACTCACCCCAACAAGCGCCCCCCCCCCCTATGCCCTACCCAACTCTCAGGCGTGATGAACTGCAACTACTTCGCCCTGGGCCAGAACTGCCGCGCGTGCAGCGACCTCTGCGACGACCAGGGGGACGGAACCTGGCTGGACCAGGACGGCTTCCCGTGCAAGCCGTGCTCCGCCATCTAAAGCGGCCAACACGACTGAGAAAAATAAACCGCGAGCGAAAACAATTTAAGTCAGATCGTCGCCCCTTGACACGGGGGGGGCGGGTCGTTTGTTTTGTGTACTCTCTCTTTCTCTTCGGAGAACTGTACACGGAGCCTCGTGGTTGGGAGGATAACTCTTTTTTAGGGATTGTTGGAAAGTATCTTTCAAGGAGGTACCCCCCCCCCCCCCTCCGTTTCCGTTTCGTTTCTCTCCTGGGCTAGGGGGTGGTCTGAATTTTGGAGATTGTTTTGAAAGCATACAAATCGTCTACCCGCGTGTCCTCTTTTTCCCTGCTCTATTGAGGTTGAACGCGTGCCTGTCTTCTCTCCTTATGCAATAACACTGAGAGAGAGAGAGAGGAAGCACAAGTCTCATTCGTGGAAAGAGAGTCAGCGAGAAAAGAGGGTTAGCGGCGACGTTAAATTCGGCCGACGATCAGCTTGCAGTATCTTTGCGAACAGTTCGGCAAAAAAAAAAAGTAGGAGAAGGCCGCCGTGCGGATTGATTTGTTGATACCGCAAGGGGATAGGGGGTGAAGGATGCTCGAAGAGGTTCTTGCCCCTACCTCCCACCCCCCACCAGCTCCTTCCCCAAACCCCGGTTTTCCAACCCTGTTGACGGCGTTTTCCCCGACTGGTTTTGTTTTCTAGTCGAGGTGGATGAAAACTGTACATTTAATTTTTTTGTGTAGCATTTGTCCTCTTTTGAGTCTGTCTCGTCACGTTTGTTTCCGTTTCGTTTTGCTGGTTTCGTGTCAATCTATCTAATAGCTGCGTGCGTCCGTTCGTATCTGTTCAACTAGTCTGTAGGCACGCGGCATTTTGCTTTGTAATTTTATGCTCGTTCAGATGTTCTGGGGCTTTTTTCGTCCTTCCCCTTATCCCGGAGTTTTTTGTTCTCACACTACTTTTTCGGCTTCTTTCTCAAGGCGGAAAGAGATTTCACACACATGTTCAGCATGCGGACGGGGTAGGCAGCTCTTGCATTTCCGTGCCCAGGTTTTAGTGCTTGGTACATGAGGTAAACACGGCAATCTCGTGTTGAGGTTTCCTCCGTCCGAGATTGTTTTTTTTAGCGGAAACGGGGGGCCTTACGTGTAGTTATCGGACGGAGTGTGCGAGACAAACGACGAGTCGATGGAGTAGTAGTAGCTGCCGCGACGTTTGTACGGCAGAGTGGTGCTCAAGGAAGGGTGCCCCGTGTCAAGGCAAAACGTATGTATTGACACACTTTTGTGGGTGTCCCCGACGCGCTGAATGTCGTCGTGGTTCTAAACCCCTGCGGTCATTTTGTTTGGCTGCAGTGCAGTAGTAGGCAACAGTATTGCAGCAACGGGGAGGGAGCAAGGCGCGTGAATGGAGACAGAAAGAGTTTGATTCTTCTTGTTCGTCTTGTGATGTTCATGTCTCTCGCGACGCAGTTTTGTTGGCGCTGTTGTTGTTGTATGGGGCGCGCGGGGGGGTGATGACCGAGGCCAACAAGTTTGTAGATCATTCACAATCCAATGCCTGTTTTTGGGTGTGAAGTACACACGGCTTCTTCCTCGGTTTGGTGTTCGGACGATTGATATACGGTAAGTACCATAGAATCGCTGACGAAACAACACTTTTTTCTTGTGTGTTTTGAGACGTTATTTTCTTGGGAAGACATATTATTAGTTCTGACTATTTCATGGAAACTGACGGCAGTGGTATGTAGTTGCCGTCGAACTTTGTTTTTTTCTCTTGCCCTGTGTCGACGTGGAAGTCTGACGGTTAAGGCTGCTGACATCGGGGTAGTGGCTAGAGGGGGGCGAGTTTTCCTTTTGCTCCCCTTGGAAGCTGCGACTACTTCAAGTAAAAAAAACAACTCAACATCATGCTACCTGCGAATGCATTTGATTTTTCGCACTTACGAAGCCCAAGGTGCACGGGCTGCTCGGTTGGAGGGCGCCACACTCGACAAGACAACTTGGTCGCCGTTTATGTACGTGCATGATGCGATCTCGAAGATCCTGTGGGGTCGTCCCGTCAGGCAATTTCCTTCCATTAGCGAGCTAGTATTTTTTTCTCCCGCCGGGCGGGTTCGATTTTCAGGCTGATTTCCAACTGACTCGCCATTTTGTGGCACATATGAAGCGAGAGACGGCCGAACGAAGTGCTATAGCTGAGCCCTAGCTTCTGATCCATGACGCTTCCTGTTTTCGTTCTTTTCTCCACTCTTGGTTGTGCACACTACATACTTTAGACTCAATCACCCTCCTCATGAACGATGCAAAACATGCCGCTGGCGAAAATGTATTGTCGACATAATTCGACCTCGGTGGTTTTTCCTTTTTCACTCTCTCCCTGAATTGTCCAGGGGGCTCTTCTCTCTGCAGTCTTGAGGTCGATCGATCCCGTGCAGTGTACACGTACTGTCCGTATGTCTGCAGGTGCCTTTTACAAACAAACACAGGCCGAGAAGCCGACAAAATTGGGGAGGGGCTGAAATGAGCCGTTGCCCGAAAAATGAAAAGGCGTTTCTTGCTTTTTAGAGTGGGTTCAGCATCGGCTCTCGGTCGTGCGGACGTGTCTAGATCTACGACGCAAACGCAATCCCCATCGGAACTTACCCACGAGCCCACCCACAGGTTGAGCTCAACTGCCCAGGCAGTCTTCTTCTCGGGAGGGAATACCCTGCGCACGTCGCAAGGGGCGTGGATAGAGAAAGGCGGCCTCTTTTCTGCGTCGACACATACCGGACTGGAAGGGAGGTAGGTGTGCCAAGCACCTAAAGCAGGGACCATGGGGAGAGACAAGGCCACATCGCAAATCGAGGAGTTTGCAAGGGCTACGTCTTCGGGCGGGGTGAGTCCACGTGATTTTGCTGCACGCGGGGGATTGAGACTGCTGTGGTTTACAGCACAGAAGTACATGCGTACCCTATCGGTTGAACATGCGGCTCGGTCGGGTTCACCGTATTGCGCCGCTCCTGAAGGCTCTGACGCCACGGCAGACGGCAGACACATATCGCCAGTGTAGCTGTGCAGGTTAAACAAGTACATGATATGGCACGTAGAGAGAGGAATCGAATGGGCTGCGGGCCGCAGCGGTCACTGGTGTTTTCCTGAGGTGGCCGAGACTGGCTGTTGTGCCGGCCGGTGTTAGCCTCTTTTTTCTACACTGCGGTGGATCCCACACAAAGTTTTGTTGTTTTTTGTTTTTTGCTCTCATAGCTCCCGTCAGCAGCCTGTGGGTTCGTGAACCTCTCGCTACAGCAGTACATACACATGAGCCTGTTATCGCAAATACCTTGCAAACGGGGAGGTGCTCACCCTGTTGTGGTTCCGACCAAGGCCCATCTTCCTCCCTTTATCACCTCCCACATTTGCGGCAAAGATTTCCAATTGAAAGGCCTGGAAAAGTCGTCGTTGTGCGTTCCCGCCGCCTTCGGCTTTCTCTGAGCGATGGATACTGCTGTCTGTATTGCGTATATTGTCGTTGACCCAGTAGAGAACTACAGGGGATGTATTGTAAAATATGTATGTTACCTACACAGATGTGTTTTTGTACTTAGCACCAGCTGGCATCACTGATATAAATCATCAGTGTTAGACTTAAAAATACTCGAAATAAGTCCAGTACCCAGCCGGTTTTCCTCCACTCACTGAAAAGACTCCACCACATCCCGTTCGACTGCTGTGCGTATATCTCGAAATGGGTAATCTTTCTGTGCGTGTATTTATTTTTCCTTAATCCCACCGCAGTAGAACTGACCTGCTGAGCGAATGGGACGCGTGTATCATGTACGTAGCTGCCCAAAAAGGTGACGACAGACCACTCGAGAGGTCACACTTGATGCACCCTCCTGCTCTTCGTCACGCTACACGCCGTCGGTGGGCTGAACCTCTCCCACTATTAATTTTAATGAAGATCCCGGACCCATCGCACGTTCTCATGGAGGCGCCAATGCCGTTGATGATCTGGCTTGCTTCCCCCCTCTCTTTCCCAAACTTTAAAGACTCCAACACGTGCCCTTCGACTACTGCTGTGGTTATATCTCGAACGGGTAGTCTTTCTGTGATATTGTGTATTTTTTTGAAAAAAATGTGGATGAAGTATGTACTACTGCTGTAGATAGATGTGGCCTACTATATTGTATGATAGGCACAAGACTGTTGTAGCCACGGAGCACCATTTCCTGGCCGAGGTCTTGGGAAATACCGGATAAGCTTAGACCATCTCATGTTTCGTACGGTACATGTTGCAATATCCACGCGGCCTTGTTGTCCCTCCCCCCCCTCCGCCCGAGAAACGTGCGTCGTGCTTTCTTTGGCTGCGACCTTCCTCGCACTACGTTGTATGCGTACGACCTAGGAACACGACGCTTGAAGCAGGAGAGTAAGATTTTGCGCGAGTCGCTTTATCTGGCAACTGCTGTTGTGTGTAAGAATTGTCAATCCACCGCCTCACTACTAGTGGACGCCCGACTTTGATACGTACATACGTACCCTCCCGCTCCAACCCCCCGCTCTTTCCCATCGATTCGCTGGTCATGTGCTTTCCCTCTGTACTCCGGTCGGGCGTTTGCGACAACAACATCATGACACGGTCGTCGATGACGTGCGCGGACGGCCGGCACCGATGCCTCAGACCATGACCGGGAGCAACGGGCGCCCTCTCGAGTCTCTCACGGAATCGCAGACAGCGGGTCCCGGGGGGCCGATCACGCTCCAGGTAAGTAGGTGGCATTGTTTACTTGTGCTGCGTATCTGTTGTTTTACCAATTAATGGCATTGTGTTTCTCTGTATTTTCTGCTGTTGTGCCAATGCCATTGTTTTGTTTTTTTTTCATTTCTGTTGTGGTGCTGCGTACAACACTAATTGAAATTAGTTTCGTGGCACCCCTCCAGCTTCTGCGTTCCCGCCTCGCCTTTGGTGGGAGCTTTGTTCTCCCCTTTTTGTCCCTCTCTCTCTCTCTCTCTCTCTCTCTCTCTCTTCGTGCGCTGATTATCGCAACGCTTTTTAGTTCTCTCTCGCTTGAGACTATTTTTATCGTCTTGGGGAGTCCGCGTTTGTGTGTATGAGACCAAACTCCGCCTTTGGGCGATTCTCTCCGGTATATTGATTAGTCTTGTTGAGGTTAGCGGGCTTGCCCCGGAAGCAATTGCTTTCGTTGCCCTGAGAACGCAAGGCCGAAGTGGCCCACCTTGCACTCAGGGTACGGACGGGTGTGCAGCTGCTGCTGCTTCACTCCGTGCAGAGATATCACCGAAAAACCAAATCGGTGGGAAGGTGTCTACATGTTTGTTATTTGATGCGTACGTTTCCCAACGGCTGTTTTTCTTTTGTCGGTGACTCTGATGAGTAAAAAAGGATAGACTGGGGAAGGTGCTGGGTAGAGAGTAGGAAGGATTCAAACCTGCAAGAACATACGCAACAATGAAACGACCCGAAAGTCCAGTTTTTTTTCGTGTTCTCCGGTACGAAGTCTTCCGAGTGTAGTTGTTATCCCGCGGCGGCAGATGTATATCACGAGCAGAGCACTGACGGGTTTTTCGAGAGTCTCAACGGTTCGTGCTTTTGAGGACCCCAGAGTTTGTAGTGTAAAGAGGGGCAACCCTCAAAGCCGAAAACGTATGGGGCGGAGGGAAAAAATTAAAAAAAACTGAGGGGGGGGGGGTTCGGACATGATGTTAACTGACGGGGAACGTTGTGCGACCGTAACAATGGCCGATCTTGTTGTCCTTCATCTGTAGCAGGCAGCACCTCGAGGTCGCAACCGGGACTCGCCCTCTCGGGATTGAGACATTATTCACAAAGAACATTGTGCTTTTCGAGGCGTTTTACAAGCGTGGCCCTGTTGCTTGGTGACAATTACCCAAACCGCTCTCATTTTTGGAAGCAACTCCTACTGATTGTTGTCCCTGGCATGCCGTACACGAAAATAAAAACAAGTGCAGCATTAACATCAACTCTGCTCTCACCCCCATCGATCATTGGCACATTTGTTTTTGACCGCGAATCTCCCCCCACCCGTGGCGGGTTTTATTTTGTCCCTCTTGATGTCGTCGGCAGGACTACACCCTGATCGACCACCTGGCGCACTTCGACCGCGAGCGGATCCCCGAGCGCGTGGTTCACGCCAAGGGGGCCGGCGCCTTCGGCTACTTCGAGGTGGGCGCGGGGGGGGGAGGGGTACGCATGTAAAGGACCGCCTTCGCGAGGATTTTGTCATTGATCTACTTGAAGTATGAAATAGAGGGGTTTCTTGATGCGTGCGACGAACGCTGTAAGATCGATTACAAGCGCATGGATAAGGATTTTTCCTTAAGAAGGGACAGGGGGGGGCGTAATACGTCACTGCTCTTGTTAGGCACACCGCTGCTGCTGTCGATGTCACTCTTCCCGTAGGTTTGTTAGCGCGGTCTTGATGTCTGAGTGTCATGCTGATGCGTCGCGCGTCGCCCGCGCGCTCGTCTCGGAGCTTCTGCGCCATCAGACAGACCTCGTTCTGTTGTGCAGACCGCTGCTGTAGGTGCCGCGTCTTTTGCGGGCCGTCACGCCCCCCCCCCCCCCCCCCCAGTAGGGGGGTTAATTTGTTTCGGGGGTTGTAAAAATGTATGCATTCCTCAATACCAAACCCCATTTTGTTAATATTAATATTCCCCCATTTTTTTGTTTTTTCAGTCCCCCTCTATTTTTGGAACCCCCCGCTGCTGTTTACCCCAAAACGCTGTGGAAAAAGTTTGATTGATTACCTCCAACTTTTTTGTTGCTCCTCGTGTGTTGCGCGTTGGGGGCCTAAATGTATTCCACAAGGGAACCCCCCCGGAGCTTAAGGGCCTCTGCCAGGGGAAAAAGTTCAGCCACGTCCGGAAACCCCCGCCTGTCCCCCTCCCCCTCTCCCCGGTAAAAGCCC